AATAAATAAATAAAGGAAGAGTATGAATAAACTATTCCATAATCAATGGTAAAGAAACAGAAGTGATAGCCATATCGATAAAATGTTCACTAAATAGCTCATAAAAGGCTTAAGAGAAAAACAAATTCTATTGTCAAAAATTAGCTTATCTTGTTTTTTTACAGCATATTAATGCTATAGACCGCTCATTGCAAAAACAAGCGAAGAAACACGTACAATCGATTCATATAGTGATGTAAGAGATAAAGAATGCTTGTCTTTTTTCAAACTCTGTCAAGAATCTTTCTATCGTTCTATTCATTTGTATAAATACTTTTGCTTAAACTTTACAATGAAAAAGATTTTTGGCTAATAGATTAGAATGAAAACTAATTTGGAAATAATATATAAGAATATTAACTGATCAAGAGCACATAATACATATATAACTAAAAGAACGCTTTTCATGATCATTCTGTATAGCAAAAAAATATTATTTGTGATAAAATTCAAGTGAAAATAATATCATGTGTATTAAATTATTGATCACCAACGTGATACGAAGGAGATAAATATTTTTTGTTAGCGAACGTTCGAGTTTTCTACTAGAAAACCGTCTAATATTTTCTCAACTTAAAATAAAAAACCTCCTGACTTTCCTACTGATTTAAGAGAAAACTTCTCCTGGAAAACTCCTGCTTTTTTTTTTGAAACTCCTGTTTTCTAAAATTTTGATTTGGCAACCCTGAATGTAACACAACAAATTAAGATTTATTTTCTTTCGAAATATATTTGACGTTGTCAAGCAAATGTTTAGTTCAAATTCAAATATAAATAAAGATCCAACTACATATGATCAATTAGAAAATAACTTCTAAAAGCTATTAATAGATTCAATCAAGGAAAAGGGTGAGAGAATCGAGAGACATACGTCATTATAGAGAATAAATTGAAATATTAATTTTTTCATTTATTGTTAAATATTTAATTCTTCACATATAATTTAATAAATTAAGAGAAAAATAAATACAATATCGATTGATCTTCTTAATCTTTTATTAACATTGAAGAAACGAGAAAAAGAATCGAGAATAACAACATAATGCTGATCTCTCGATTGAAGAAAACGAAGAAATCGTTTAAATAAATATTTTATTTATTTTCGATATAAAATTTTTGTTATACTTAAAGAATAAAATCGTTGAATTTGATAAAAAAAAGAAGTGACATAATCGAATTCGAAATAATGAAAATCTAATCGATATTCATCAAAAGATTTTGCTTTTAATTTCAATAAAGAAAAATGATTTTCATAATTGTTTGAAATCAATTTTTCTTCAAAGATTTCTTCGTTTTCAAACAAAATTACAATTTAATTCATCAAAAAAATCAAATAAACTCACTTTTCACAAACATTCTTTGGTTCACACGACTTCCATTTAACAATAAGATGCTCGTTATTTAAATACAAGTTACTCAACAGATTTTATAGGGAAGTATTTCGCCGGCTGAATATTTGAGGGTGTGGGACTAGCCACAAATAGAATACGCCCACGCCCACACCCTCAAGATAATATTAATTCTAAATCATCAAGTAATTAGAACATGAATATTCATTATCATTTCTTCATTTTCGTGATTCAAAACAAAACGATCTTCTACTTGTTCAGATTTTGTACAAATGGTGTAAGTGTGCATGGATTGTGAGTTTGGAAATTTATCTTTGAATGAGCAACATCCAGTATTTTGGATGAAATTAGCCACTCTTAGTCGATATCTCCTTTTCAGATAATCTCTCATTCGAGGCAGATTTAAATTTAGGATTCATCTCAGCATGTAGAGACCTCTTCCAAATTTCTAAGCAAATATGAACAAGAAAAACTCGAATCTACTGCTGACTTTACTTAAGTTTTATGAATATATTTACAAAACTACAAATCTCAAATCCAAGAAATATTTTTCATTTTATTTTTGAAAAGAAAAATATTTTTCCACAGCTGAGCGTACTGTCGATAAATTGATCTAAAAATATTTATCAACTTAAACTAACTGAAATTTAATAAAAAATATTTAGAATTATTTATTTGATCATTTTTTCAACTATTCTAATGAGATGTTTTTCTTAAGAAATTCTACTTTGAATTGTCAATATGGATAAAAAAGAAGAAAGTTCGATTCGAGAAAAGAAAAAAACATTTTGAAGACAGTTTCTTAATCTAAGACCAAAATAAAGAAAATGTTGCATTTCTTGATTTGAAGGAATTGAATTAAATATTTATTTAAATTTCTATGAAAAATATAACAAATCTTTTTCAAAGTTTTATTACTGTTTTATTTTATTTGAATTTCTTGGTTCATTTTTCCTTCGATTTTTTTTTATTTTCATCGATATAAAAATCTTTTTAATATTTGTTTTGATCAGCAAAATGCATTTTAATTTCGATTTTTATTTTCAAGTTTTCATAGAAGATTCTTTTTCTTTCCGTTTTCGAACAGTTTTCAAATTTTATCAAATCAAAAAGCTAAAAGCATTTGATTATTTTTATGAAATAAAAATATTCAATCAGAATTTTATCAAACATAAAATCTTCGTCTCGAATAATTTCTATTTAATTTAATTCAAAGTACAAAATATTTTTTCTTCTTATCTTCTGCAAAATTCAACAAAAGATGAAGAATTTAACATTTATTTCTTGGAGTTTTTTAATCAAAATTATCAAATCAAATTAAATTTTAAAGAAAGAAATTCTAAAAGATTTTTCTTTGTTCTTTTTTTCAAAATCAAAATTTCATTTACAATATAATTTCGAATTTTTGAATTCGATTATTATAATAATCAACAACATAAAGATTGCCTTCATCATCGAAAGATAAATCACGGGGACCATTAAATTGATTTGATTGACTTCCTTCACCATTACCACCAACAACAATTTCACCTTCTTTTTTTCCTTCACACCAGCGCATTACTCGATGATTCCAATAATCTGCCACATAGATTTGACCTAAATCATCAACAATTACTCCTTGAGGATAAGACAATTGATTGAGATTTCCTCCATAATCATTCCCTCCAGCCACAATTGTTCCTTCTTCTGCATCTTTTTTCCATTTCATCACACGACTATTGTAAGAATCTGATACATAAACAGATTGATCTTCATCAACAAAGATAAAATCTGGAGTAGTTAGTTGATTTGTTTGTCCATTTCCACCTGTCACTATAACACCTTCATTATATTCACCCATTTTCCATCGTCTCACTCTCACTTTATTTATCTCGAGATCAGAAACATAAAGAAATCCATGTTTATCCATTGCCAAGCCATAACAGTCAATATTCTCAATCAGAATTTGTTGATTTTGATTCAACCATTGAATCACTCGTCTGTTCCCACGATCAGCAATGATGATCGAATAATTTTGTTGATCAACAATCACATCTGTCGGATAACTCAATTGATCCATTCGATCTCCTTTGCCATTTCCACCTGCAATGATTTGTCCTTCTTTTGCATTATATTTCCATTCAACAATACGATGATTACGATTATCAGCAATGAAAATATTTTTCTTTTTATCAATAAAGATTCCAGAAGGGTAATCGAGTTGATTTAATTGTTGTCCCCATCCATTTCCACCAACCACAGTGATGGCATCTTGCTTCCATTTGTTGAATTTTGGTTCTAGCAAATAATGAAAACAAAAGATTTTTGATGAAAGGAAAAAGAAGAAGAAAAGGAATAGATTAAATTTGAATGAAATGATCATAAACATACTTAATGGAAAATCAAACAAAATATGATTTTTTTTGTTCAATTTTGAATAAAATCTAGTAAAATGAAATGAAGAAAGTATTTGAACGTTGTATTTTTTAGAATGAAGATTTTGAAGAAAATAGATTTTTATTGAAAGATAATTAGTTTCCGAAGCAAATTGAAAAAAATCTAATTTGAAAAGAAAAGGAATGAAAAGAAAAATGATAAAAAGATTCTGCTGATTTGTTTTTTGTTAAATAAAAATTTGAAAACAAGAAATATTTTAGAACTTTTGCCAATAAAAGAACTGATTTGAATTGAGGATGTGATTATCTATACTCTCAATTCACACCTACACCCACATCCGTTTATAGTAAAGTGAACAAAAAATGAATACATACGTGTTTCACAGCGAGGTCCAGTCCAGAATGATGTACACTAAACAAACATGGAATGAATGAGTTACCTCTGAAACACAGATGAATTCCGCCGACTTACGGTACAAGAGTTTGGTCCAGTGCATTTTCCACCATTCGAACATTGTGGAAAACAAATGGCTAAAAGATGAAATAGAAATCAAACCATCATCATTTCTTCTAATCATAAAATGGAAACTGAGATCAATGTCGGCATCAGTGATTTTGAAGAGAATGGAGCTGCGAATAAACTAATCGATTAAAAGTGAATCTGTAGAGACGTGTTCTTACAAAGCGTTTTCTCGTGAGGCACATACAAATTGCCTGAATTATGAAGTATATGTTTGTGGTGCAATGGAGAAGCTATGATAAATTTTCCACTTGGTAATATGACATTTAATAGAGTGATGCGCGAAACAAGCGTCAGATATAAATCATTAGGAAGTATATTTTTCGTTGTCCAATCTCATTCAATATATTATTTCAATTTTTTTCTCTAAAGACCTTCAATTATTAAAGAAAATTTATAAAAATGAGCGCCAATTCAGTTAAGTTTTCCTACATATAGCAATCAAAATCATTTATGGATCAAACAACGACGATAGAGAAATACCACAAATTAAAGTACGACTAGATTAAAGATAACGGAGAAAATGAAAGGGAAGATCTGAATAGTGGTCAGGGTTTTCGATTCAGAATGAGAATAAAACAGGCCCAAAGAACGGATCCAACTATTTATTTGCAATCTGTCTAATAATAGAGGTGTGTGTACTGTTACTCAAAAGCATTGGGTTTATTGCTGTCGAATTAAGGATCTAATTGCCAAAGTAAAAAGGTTAAAATATGATAAGTGCGGGTGAGTAAGTAGCTCTTGAAATCTCTACTACAGAAACACAAAAGAAAGCTCATTATGTTCATCTTTTGTCTAAATTGATTCTCTCAGTGTTGGATATCTGTCTATGCATCTCCTAGAACTACACATTCTTCCACATCATCACACTCAAAGTACTACAATGTTTCTACTAATAACTCAGATCTTTATCATACATACTATAGACATCGGAATATACTACTGTTTACGAAATACTACGTACCATCACAAACTGCGTCATCATCAATCCAATCAGCATCACATTTTGTGCCATTAGACCAACCCATGGCACCCAGACCCGATTTCCTGCCATTTAACCAACCACCAGTATATATTCTGCGATCCGCATATCGCATTGTACCTAATCCATGCATCTTGCTGTCAATCCAATGACCGACATAATTATCACGATTCGACCAGATCATTATGCCACGACCATTTTTTCTGTCATTCATCCACCCACCTGTATATATACTACCGTCAGCATATTGTAATGTGCCTGACCCATTTTTCTTGTCATCGGCCCAATTGCCACTGTATTTTTCACCGTTAAAAGAAGTTAGTACACCTAAACCCGATCTTTTGTCATTGATCCAACCACCAGTGTATATGCTGCCATCAGAATAGTTATGTGTCCCAGTACCATTTCGCTTTCCATCAGCCCAGTTCCCTTCATATCTGCCACCATCGGAGAAAACGAAGGCGCCTGAAACCTGCCGTGTACTATCAATCCAGGAGTCTGTGTATGTTCGATTGTCGATGTAGTTTTGTCCATCATGGTCAGTGAACACAACTGCAGACGAATTGTCTTCATCGTTGACACCATCTCGGAGGACTGTGTCGTTGGCAAACTGATATATGCTGGAACTGTTGGTTTCCTCTTAAAGAAATCAAAATCATAGATAGAAAATGGTGAGCAAAAAATTTATATCTTATATTCTGAAGCTTATGAATGAAGTACAGACTCAATAAAAAAAGAAAATATCTCCAGTGGAAAAAAGTTCTGAGACACACATAAAAAGCTATCAATAAAATTCAACGGTCTCTACATCTTCCTTCAGCTATAATACATTCATATATTCTCTATGATATCGAAAATACACGGTTTTCACATAATTCAGGTCTAATTGTCAACTACTCCGCTAATATTTTAATTTCCTATCGATAATCAACTGCAAATTTTCAACAGGATGTGAGGGTGTGGTTGTATGTATTGTGCTTATCTCTGATCTACACCCTCAAGCTACTACCAGTGTTCGATTTTACATTTGAAAAAGATTTTTCTGTTAAGAACGAAGTATCGATTGTTAAATAAACTATATGCGAATTTTCTATGGGGAAATTTTGATTTTAATATGTAATCTTTTGGTGTTCTGTACAGTTTTATAACTTATACAAAATAACAATATCACAGAAATGTAAAAACTTATACATGAAATTTTATTTTGGTATAATATTCACAAAAGATAATCATCAAAAATACTGCTGATTAATTGTAAGACAATTACAGTTTTATATGAACAAAAAAACATATACCGTCAATGAAATAAAATGTAATAATATATAACGTTTGTATGACTTGCTATTGTATTGATGAGAAAGTTAATCATTGTAGAGATTTTATTGTTAGAAAAAATCGCCTCTGCAGTTCGAAGTGACGTTACTACATTAGGAGGAACTATATGTTTGGTACCAAACATCTTAAGATTTGTAAGTAGAAAGAGAGAAATTTTTCTAATATGTACGAAAAGTTTTGACTCATCCTGTAACGATCAATACTATAACTTACCAGATTCATCGAATGCTCGTCCGTTCACTTGACTAAAAAATGATACTTCTAGTAACAGTATCACACAACAAAGCAAGAGCTTCGTTTGTATTCCAAATATATTCATGTAGAAATACTTCTTCGAAAAAATTATATCAAATGAATAATACAAGTCTTGGCATCATATCATTGTATATATATGTATATACAAATTATCTTGACGTGCGATGAAAATATTTCCTGTCATCGAAAAATAACGCCAAGTATAAATTATCTGATATGGATTTGTTGAAATATATATTAGACTGGAGTGCGTTATTATTGATGGCTCCAAATGTTTTTCTGTTCTGTCTTCAATATTTCGTCGGGCCGTTTTACGAAGTAAATATTTTTTTGGTTGTATGATGAAAGCCTTGATTAATAATAATAATATAGAAAAAGTCACGTTCTATTTCTTGCACATAATACTTGGTCTAAGACTTTTGTTAGAAGTAGAGAATATCAATATACACTTGTGCGAACAATCGATTATAAGTCGAAAAATAACAATATTTTCGACATGTACTTTTAAAATAATCAAAGAAATACAAAGTTCGTTTCGTGTTAATTGTTTAATATTTTAAAAACTCATTAGAATTCTGTATTACAATAAAAAAATTAGCGTAAGAAAAAGAAAAGAAATTTGGAATCTTATTTTTACTATCATTGTTTGTTAGAGATGTCGAACTATATAAATGATCTAATAATAATAATTGATTTTCTTTCGTTTGTCAGACATAGAATTAATGTATTTTGTTGATGTTTCATTATTATAAAGGAAAGATACTTTAAAAACTATATATTACTCAATGGAATAATTATAAAATATCAATTGCCATTATGATCTTTATGATCCACGTGTATAATTCCATCAGTTGAGGGTGAGAGTTTCAAAGATACATGTAATATCTATACCTTCGTTCTCACTCTGTAAAAAAAGAAGTACTATATGTATTCTGAATAGAATTCTTGTTTATATTTTATTAAATCAATTACAAATATTTATATTATTGTGATACGAAAAGAATTTCATTTTTGAGGGTGTAGGTATGAATGTGAGTGGATGTGTGCAGGGAAAGAATTCACACCCTCAAAACAAAAAAGGTGTTGCATTTTTCGATTTGAATGAATTGAATAAAATATGATAAAACAGTTATTAAATATTTATTTGAATTCCTATGAAAAATATAACAAATCTTTTTCTAAGTTTTATTAAGAGAAATTAAATAAGAAAAAAATTGCGTTCACCAAACTTTTTGAAATTAAAAATCAAAGTTGAATTTTGTAGCATTTCAAAAGTTTTATTTTATTTGGATTTCTTGATACATTTTTCCATCGAAATTTTTGTTTTGTTTTGATCTATATGAAAATCTTTTTAATATTTTCTTTGCTCAACAAAATTCATTTTGAATTCGATTTTGATTTTCAAGTTTTCATAAAAGATTTTCTTTCTCTTTATTCTCGAACAATTTTCAAATTTTATCAAATCAAAAAGCTAAAAACATTTTGATTATATTTTCATCCCAGAAAAAAAATCCAGTAGCATTTTATTAAACACAAAATCTTCTTTTTGAATAATTTCTATTTGATTGAATTCAAACTACAAAATATTTTATTTTTTTATTTTCCACAAAATCCAATAAAAGTTAATGAGTTTAATAATTATTTATTCGGACTTTCTTCATCAAAATTATCAAATTAAATTTAGCTTTTAAGAAAAAAACAAAAAGAGTTTTCTTCGTTTCAAAATCAAAATTTCATTCATAAAATTATTTCAAATTTTTCAATTCGATGATTTCCGGAATCAGCAACATAAAGATTTCTTTCATCGTCAAAAGATAAACCACTGGGATGATTCAATTGATTTCCACCAACAATAATTTCACCTTCTTCTTTGCCTTCACACCAGCGCATTACTCGATGATTTTCCCAATCTGCCACATAGATTTGACCTAAATCATCAACAATTACTCCTTGAGGATAAGACAATTGATTAAGATTTTCTCCAAAACCATTTCCTCCAGCCACAATTGTTCCTTCTTTTGCACCTTTTCTCCATTTCATCACACGATGATTGTTCCAATCTGATACATAAACAGACTGATCTTTATCAACAAAAATAAAACTGGGATAATCGAGTTGATTGGGTTGATCTCCTTCTCCATTTCCACCTGCCACTATAATTCCTTCATTATTATATTCTCCCATTTTCCATCGTCTCACTTCATTCCTCAACCAATCAGAAACATAAAGAAATCCATGTTTATCCATTGCCAAGCCATAACAGTCAATATTCTCAATCAGAATTTGTTGGCTTTGATTCAACCATCGAATCACTCGTCTGTTCACATAATCAGCAATGATGATCGAATGATTTTGTTGATCAACAATCACATCTGTTGGTTGATCCAATCGATCTGTTTGATTTCCTTCCCCATTTCCACCTGCAGTGGTTTGTCCTTCTTTTTCATTATATTTCCATTCAATAATACGATGATTCCAAAGATCAGCAATGAAAATATTTTTCTTTTCGTCAATGAGGATTCCAGCAGGGTCATGGAGTTGATTTAATTGTTGTCCTTCTCCATTTCCACCAGCTACAGTGATGGCATTTTGTTTCCATTTACTGAATTTTGATACTAGAAAATAATGAAAAAAAATATTCTGATGAAAAAAAGAAGAAAAAGAAAAGTTGTTTTTCATCGAATGAAAAAGGAGAAAATTAATTTTGAATGAAACTTTGATTTTGTCCTTATCAAAGTTGAGCTTTAAATTCAATGTTGATAAATATATGTAATGAAAAGACAAATTTGATTTGATTTGTATATTCAATTTTGAAAAGAATTTGTTGACAAAAAAACATAAATTATTTGAAGTTTTTTATTTGTAAAATAAAAATAAATTCTTTTGAAAACTATTTTGAGGGTGTAGGTGTGGGTAATTCTTCTAATATACCCTTGCCTCAAAACTCCCAAGAAATAGAACACAATTGTTCTGTTATAGAAATGATATTCTCAGGTACTGCGTACTTTTATTCTATTGTGAGTGTTACTTTTAGGTGCTGAGTACTACTATTTTGTTTTGGAAATATCACTTCCCATTCCATAACAGATTTGTTGTGTATTTAATTATTAATTTGTTTCGGACGGTCATATAATTTCAAATATCATCAGGTAAAATATGAATGCATAAGTAAACTACGAATTTGGAATCTACGTGTGGAGCTTATTTTTTAGACCTAAGAAATATGTCAACTTCTGTTTTTTCTTTTATAACAAAACTTTACCATTCTTTGTTATTGTATAAGAATTAGTTGATGTTGTAAGCATTGTTGTTTCTGTTATCGACGTTGAAAGAATTGTTGTTCCTGTTGTCGATGCATCAATTGTAGCTGTAGTTGTATTAACTTTTGTTTCGGCTTTTTTAATGAAAATAAACCATGTTGTAATACTAATGATAGTTGTTAGGATAACAACAACAAGGTTGATTAAAAAACAAAAATGAATTTTTCTATGAGACAAAGATCTAAAATGATAGATATATTTCGAATAAATAAATTAAATACTTACGATCCTGTTTGTGGACGAGTAGATTGTTTAATATTGTTTTTATTCTCTGATTCCAACTAAATATTAAAAACAAATTACTTATTTAGAATTCTTTAAAAAGTGTTGATTATTCTCGTAACTAGCTATTGAATCTATTCAATTTGTTAATCTTTTCTTGAATAATAATAAAGAAAAATAAATCTTGTTCGAAAATATTTTATCTTGAGCACGAATATTTCATTTATTTTTAAAATTTATTTTTTGTCGAATAAAGATAAGAATATGCTTAACAGTTTTTTAATCCTGAGTAAAAATTCTGAGAAAAAGAAATGAAATAAACACGCAATGAGAGATTTAATCTTGATTATATGTATTTATGTTTCTATAAATAAAAACTCAACTTGAATCAATCATTTCTATGTAGAATATTTTAGTTTGAAATGGCTTTAAAAATAATACAACGATTTATGATGATTTTTTTCTTATCGATGAGAATAAATTTATTAAAAACAACAGTTTGTTAGTAAAAAGTATTAGTAAACGTGAAATGTATTGAAATTATTTAAAGTTTATTTTACACAAAGAAAAAATATCCAATATTTATTTCTGGTTATTGAAATAAGATTTTTTCCGTTGTTTTTAACGGAAAAACATTCAAAATCTCTTTTTACACATCCTTCACATCTATCTTTCATACAATGAAAATAACTCTTTCCGACCTATCTTTCTAAAATAGTTATTCCATTTTGTGACCTTTTCTGACACACTCATGCACATAAGAAATCTACTTTTCTGGCTGATACTCAGATAGCAGAGAACTAGAGGTGCTAGTTTAACATTAGTATTAAACTAATTTTAATACTAAACTAGCACCATTAAACACAATACCATTTACTTTGTGTTCTGGTGATGCATCATATGTAGTTGCTCGTTTTGCAGCCAACTCTATATCTTCTTCTTTGTTTTTGTTAATAAGAAGTTTTTTATATTCCATGTTTTGGTACTTATGTTTAGATAACTTCTCAAGCGTTGGCTGTGATGATGCTGTAGTCGTTACTTTTTTTCGTGGTGATGTTGATTGTGGTTCTGAAAAATGAAATCAATTAAGAACGAATATTAGAAATGCACTACTGACGAAAAAACCGTAATTATGTTTTATAAATTATGTGATAGAATTGCCTCTATCTGAATTTGTGAAAAGAAAACATTTTGAAGTTATCACTATAAGATCCATTTGACTAAGGAATTCTTTCCATCTAAGTCACAAATATGAATACGCTTTTAAAAAATGTTTCATTTTGCACACTCAAAATTAAGAGTATTATTGATTGTAACTGTAAGTGCACTTAGAATTGTGAAGTCGCTTAGAGCATAACATTTCTTGTATAAAGAAAATAAGTTTTAGATAAGTAAATTCTTAATTGGAAAATATGTTTTCTTTTAAAACTAAATGTGGATATGACTGTTGGAAAAATATGCGTAATCGCATCTACCCACAAGCACCCTCAATTGCTGGGCCTATAGGAGATTGTCATACTTAATTGCCCTTTGACTGATTTATATAACTATGAATGGAACCTTGATTTAGCAAGGAGCTCAAAGCCTATACAATATTTTGTCAACAGCGTTTTTGTAGGATAATTATCAGTCATAATCCAAATAAAATCGAATAATTAAATTTATATAATCCTCTCAAACATGGTTTAGATCTTCTATATTTTAAAAATTCTTTGCTGACACTTATGAAATAATTTTCATACCTTTAATTGTGTATTAGTATGTCGTCTTTGTTTTGAAAAAAAATGTAAAGCTAAACGGTAACCATCTTTTTATTTTAACTTCGAAATTGGTATGTCTTGTTTTTTTTCCTTACTTTATCACAGTTATCTATTACATTTCATTTATAACAAAAAAGAAGAAGAAGACCTTTTAATAGTAGCTAGGAAGGATTACAAAAAGTTAATTTAAAAAATTATCTTTTAACATGTAACACGATACTGATCATGAAATGAGAAAAAACAAAACTCAACAATAATTCGTCGAAATCTATCTTTATCCAAGGTAAACTGAACATACATATGACACTTGTTACATGATGTATAGTCGATTTCACCATATTCTAATTGTACTATATAACGAAAAATAATACGAAACAGGTGAAATATGGTTAATAGCACTCTCCGTGTTGATATATTGATTCATCAATATGATTCTTATTATAACAACACGCGGAACAATATGCACCATTATGCTAACATCTAGTTTTGGCTACTTCCAACTAATTTCAACATTAAACCATCTTGAGGGTGTGGGTATGGACGTAGATTAAAAGAAAATGAATACACTCACACCCACACCTTCAAGATGTATATTTGTTTTTACGATCAAATGATAATATAGATTTTAAACAAAAATAAGTAACAAAGAAAGTTATTGAACTTTTGTTGATTATAACCGAGGAGACAACATTCATGTCTATTATGCACTATTTTATATCGATAAAACAATCTTAACAAAAATGTTGCTCACAGTTGTTATCTTGATTCTGTTATTTTGTAGTTGATATCATTCTTTTTCGTTGTTTTTCTTTCAACAAGTAATTACAACATCATGCGAAATCTATGAAACAAAACAAACACTCACTTATTTAATGATAAGAGAAGAACAGTATATATAACCAATATATGAGACTACGGAGCACACCTTTCTTCAACAATTTACAATGGCAAATCAAACAGTCACCAGTTTTCTTACATTACCGGTAGAACTTGTCTACCGAATTCTTGATCATCAATCATATCTTACAATTCTATGCTCCATGACAAACGTATGTAAACGTTTCAACAGCATTCTGAACAGCTATGATCGGTACCAGGTAAACTTTTTCTATCATGATTACCTAGTTTTTATCTATTAACTCTTGAACTATTTTTCATTCCTACAATCTCTATGCAAGTAGAATAGTTTTTATAAATTAGACGTGAATAAACTATTTGTCACTCAAAATAATTCATCAGCTATCCCTCTCTCCGCTAAGATTCACTTCTTATATTATGATAATATGGAAAATAATATCTTGATAATTAGAAAAAGAAGTTCCTTTCTTCCTTTCTATTCAATTTTATCTAAATATTCTACGTTTCAAACTAGGTATGATGTCATAAACATACAGTGTTTAGATAAGAACGAAAAAAAGAGATAAAACATTATTATTTGCCTTTTACCTGTATGTAAGCACCATTTTTTTAAAACACCATTTCGATGATAAAAATCAGCTTTCGATAGAAACTAACCTTCGAGAAACTAGTTTGTCTTGTTATAAATAACGTCCTCGATACTTCCTTGAGAAATACTTCCGACAAATACTCCTTCAAGAGCATGTCCAACAGAGGGTGCCGGTGGCTGTGAATATAGAGAAAATTGACTCACAAAAACATTCACGTTCTCATTCAATCACAACACTAAAACTCATACTACCAAGATGGAATATTTCTTCAAAGAATACTACTTCTAAAGCAACTTTTTTACCAAAACAATCTGCACTGGAACGGATATCCTTTGAAGCATGGTTTATCAAGGACAGAGTTTCGAGAATTATTCGTCAGCGCTATTTCGTTATACGACTTTTTAGTATTTATTCACCTTCTTCTCATAATCAGTCTAATATTACACAATAAATTGTTTGACTTTTCACTTTTTATAAATCAATCTAGCTTCATGAACACAATGGTTTAACTGCACCAAAAGCAACTATTAAAATCGATATATATTCTCACTTATATAAGTCATACGCATCAATAAGACTAAGTTCGATAACTCAATCAGAGTTCTGATATAAAACACATATCAAGTCTGAATAATGAATGTAAATACAACTGTCCACTAAATATCTGTAAGACACTAGCTTTCATCATAACTACAGAATACCAACAAGCGCTGCATTATACTTTACTACACTCTGAACCATTCATTGCAATACATTATCATTTCGACACATAATACTTTTCTTTCCAATTGTTTTCCATAAGAGTAGCTTACAAACTAATTTTTATTAACCGACATGTATTTTCTTCTTTCCAAAACAGTCGCAAACTAAAACAATAGATGGATAAAAACTTCCTATAGCTAGTTCAGCCTTAGTAACTTCTTATTAGTCTACACTCTCATAAAACATGGTTGAACAATGTGCAGCATAACAAAGTGTATAAAAGTTCATACTTGTATTCGTACGCCCAACACGTCCGTCAGAACAACATTAACTTCACTGTTCTAACCGTATTCAATAATCACCAACTACTCTGTTTCCTCATTTATACCATGTCTTCACCTTCCATTTTTCATCTAGACATTCACCACGTTAGATCTCACGTGGGATTCTATCGGAGATATTGAAGCACAATCTCTGAGTGATGCATTACAACATAACACGGTGATTCTCATTCACTTTTTATTTATGTCATGTCTTTATATGAACTTCCTCATTTAGACAATCACCACCCTCAAACTCAGTAGCAATGAAATTGGTCCTAAAGGAGTACAATATCTTTCCAATGCTCTTAAAATCAACAAAGTAACAACAATACTTGTTCTTCTTCACCTTCACTTCATTATTCACACATTTTTCACACAGACACTCACTACACTCGATCTCGAAAGCAATAAAATCGGAGATCAAGGAATAGAAGATCTTGCCAATGCTCTACAAATCAACAAAGTAATAATAATACTTGTTTTTCTTCCACTTCACTTCGTTTTATTATTCACACACTTTGCATACAGACAGTCACCACACTTGACCTCGGATACAATAAAATCGGTGATGAAGGAGCA